ATATATATATATATATATATATATATATATAGTCTATTTTATTTTGTTCTGTAGGAATTAAGCTAAAGCACGAAAAGCTATTATCAGGAACTTCTGATTAAAATAAGCCAGTTATATAAAGAGAAAAAAGTAGAATAATAGAGAATAAAACTGAATTTCAAGAAGATAGCTCCATATAAACTGTTTATAAATAATTAACAATATGAATGAATACAACAGATAACAAAATACTTAATGACTAGATTACACCTGAATTATTAGTTGGATACACTCACTATTTTAATCCGTAATCCTAATAACAAATGGCAAGATTTAACCAGCTTAAATTTGGGTTAATTCTCAATCCATTTATTAAATTAGCAATACTAAATAATCTTTGTAAGTGTAATTATGCGTCAAAAGTTGAAAGAAAATTAAACGTTATAATTACTAAGAACTAAACTGATAATAAAAATGAAATAGTTTTGTAAGTTTTAAAAAACAAACAATGTAGTGTTGACTGTAGATGTTTGGGTTATTCAACTAAATTGTTATGATCTATTCTACGTCTGAATGTCGATAAAGGTATATAAAACCGAAACTCAGATAAATAAAACAAAAAAATCAGGAGTAATGAAAAGGTTGTACATGTTTTTTTTTTTAAATAAGTCAATATTTACAAAGTATTGTTAGTCTCTGGTCGTTAGTTAATTTTCCGTAAAAATTCTTTCCTAAGAAACTTTAGCGATACAAGTCCTTTCTTAAATAAAACTAGTTTATTCTTTCTCAATACAACTTTGCAATACACTTGATTTCCACAGTCACGCTATAACTTAAACAAACGCTATAATTCACGCGCTTGACTCAATTGTCGTCTCTATCTCTGTCTGCAATTCAATTACATTGTTGCCGTCACTTCTTGGCGGTCTTATATACAAGAATACCGCATATCTAGTAAACACTCGAGGCTTCACGAAGGGACATGAATTTTCTAGAAGCTCATGACGTGTTACTAGCGTCACGTGACTTCCGCTGTCGTAACAGTATTCACGTAGAAACAACTTTTTAAACTTTATATGTTACGTGTTTTAAGAAGGAAAAACAATTGAATTTATATATTTAAAAATATTAAATAAGGATTTAATTACTAACTAAAAAACAAATGTAAGAATTAGAAAACTAATATCATTTTCGAACACAGACTCGTATATCAAGAATTGTGTTTCAACAATGTAAATATACCGAAACATCATTGAGGAGGGAGTTGAAGCACCACTTCATTATTCTAAAACGTTTCCAAGGTTCACTATCTTCTGATTTCTTTTTTTAATAAACAATTGACTTTCATTTAAATCATTTCAATTATTTGTACACAAGAAAAGGTCTATTTTTTTCCTTTGGAAGAAAACCCACCCACTCTGTGTACGTCCCAGATATATCACTACTATTAAACTAATTACATAATTAATAATAAAAAATATATAAAATAGTATATTTTACGTTTTTATTTGGTTCATTAGCAAAAACACTGAGTGAGTGCACAAACTTCACTTAAATTTTTAATATCAATAATTAATGATTGATTTATATATATTGTTTAATTCAGAGGTTAATGTTTTACTTTGTTTTTCAGGCCAAGTTGTAAGAGATTGAATCACGAGAACTGGAAAAAGAGTAGACTAATTAATTAAATATTGTGTGATTCTACTAAAGAAAGGAGTGTAAATATTAATAAAAATCTGACAAAATCAATAAAATTAGTAGTTAAAAAAAGAACCATTTTACTCCCAAATCAAGCACGTTTCAAATATTTTCACAATTAACAATAAATATATTGCTAATCGATATTATAAAAAAATCATAACAAGGCATTTAGATACCAAATAATTATACAGATTTGTAGTAACATATACGAAATTTGTCTTATTTTCTACAAACTCACATAACCTACTGGACAATTCGTTTTCAAAGCAAATATAAAAATAACGTGACTCATAATTATTAATTCTTTATTTATTAATTATAATTATCGATTCCTCCTTATATCCTTGCTCTCTTTGGTGTGTTCCCAAAAGTATGTCATTTTCTCTCTCTCTCTTATCTCCCTCGCAACTAAATCTATGAAACGTCCTGAAATCTTATACACTTTATATACACAAACTGTTTCTCTAATACATTTGTTCTGAAACACATAATAGATTGGATGTGTGTACTGAAGAGTCACTACTCTTCGATCATTTTATAGAACTTTTAAAAATTCAAGTAACATCTCAGTTTATTTTCTTGTTAAAAAGGCATATTAAGTACAGATTAAAGTAAAGTAGAGATATTGTAGAAAGTTTATAAATTATTTTTCCTCAGTTAAATGGAGTTCTAAGCTATATTTTCATTGTTTAAATTTAGATGTTTGCTAGAGGGCACTTGATACTGAGATCGAGTAAGTCTATAAAAGTAGTTCTAGGATACCTTGAATGTTTGTGGATGTTAATGATCAAGAGACTTTGCAATATGTCTAGAGAAAAGGATACATTATAAATACAATAATCAGTGAATCATTAAGTTAGTTTTTCATTTAGTAAAGTGCTAGTAAAAGTGAAGTATTTAGATCAGTGCTAGTTATCGCGTATATTCAGTTACTCGATCAATTAGTCGTTAAAATGTATAATTATTGAAGTAAGTTTATTTGTATGTTTGTCTTAGTAGCATTAGCGAATACATTTTTGTTGAAAATGAAAATGTTATTGTGAATTTAGGCTTAAAAGTCTGTACCAAAGGTTAAGGAAGGAATAAACTAATTTTTTATCGTTACGTGGACGGTGAACTGGACAACATATGTTAACTAAATATTAAAAAAACTCACCCAACGATGGAATATGTTACAACAACTAGTGTAAGAAGTGGGATGCTTTCTGTGAAAATGAAAAGTGAAATAAAACTTTGGCTCAAATCCAACATAACATAAACATGCATATCAAAAAAAAAAGAGTGAAAAAAAACCTACGAGACATAATAGTCAAAAATAACAAACTAAAATACCAGAAAAGAAACAAATCTTGGAAAACGATGATTTATATCCTGTTATGAAATAAGTTTATAATTATTTTCTACCAAGCACTCATTTTTCAAAATATAAAAATCATTTAAACCTCGCTATTTAGAACAGACGAGAAATGAAATGCTATGCGTCAATCATCATAGATGAGGTTTGGAAAGTCCACGTGCATTATGAATATCCAACCAATGTATAAATGATTATACGTTTACTGTATATGGTGTCCACAGGTGCAAGCTGAAAAATAATTTTTGCAATGCTCTCCACCATTCGACACTTGCCAATGTCACATTTACAAAACTGTATACTGTAGTTACAGTAAATGGTGATCTTAAAAGAATGCCTAATACTTCCTGATTGGTTTTTAGGTCATCTTGTGTGAGGATTAGGTGCAATGATGACCTCTTTCTCGCTCCTTGATAGTTGGTTCAATTCTGTGTATTATTATTATTTTATTTAAATCGTGAAAATACTTGTATTATTACAACACAAGGATCAGGGTTTGTATCCAAAAAACATAATGAGTACACACTCTGACCCCATCCAAGGCCAGTCCAAGTATGTTAATAACGTATACGAAATCACAAAATGAAGTGAAATAAAAGAATTAAAGAGGAATAAGTGCTACATTTAAAAATGAGAACACAAATTTACCCATTTATTATATTCCATCTAGATGTACATGTATAGATGATACGTCTATAACCACGAGGAAATACCAACCATTTTTGTAAGACGAATAAACATGATATATCAGAGAACTCGAGTTTCATGTACCTTTTTTTTTGTAATATTTGAAAAGAAATATAAAATTTCTGGTACCAAAATAAATCAATATTTTTCCAGCTCTGGCGAGCGGAGAGTGGCAGACCAGAGTATAAAAATTCGGGTACAGTCGTTCTGTACAGCCGTACCTGTGCAGTAACTATCCAACACCAATTAAAATTTTCTGTTTGTCCGTAGATACACATTCTCCTAAACGAGTTAACAGATCCAGACCAAATTTGGCATGTAACTTAATATTAGTAGCCCAAAAACAAACCAAATTAATATCAAACCTTCGCATATATTGAAAAATATAAATATTTTATAGAACAATCAGTATATCATTAGTGCAGTAGTTATTGTAAATAATTGAGTCTGAACAAAACTAGCACCACAACAGAATTAGTTGAGTTTGTTTGTAATGAAGCACAAAGCTACACAATGGGCTATCTGTACTCTGCCCACCACGGGTATCAAAATTCTAACACTGTAAGTCTGCAGACATACTGCTGTGCCACTGCAGGGTCTAGTTGAGTCTGAACAAAACTCACACCACAACAGAATTAGTTGAGTTTGAACAAAACTCACACTACAACAGATTTAGTTGAGTTTGAACAAAACTCACACCACAACAGAATTAGTTGAGTTTGAAAACTCACACTACAACAGAATTAGTTGAGTCTGAACAAAACTCACACCACAACATAATTAGTTGAGTTTGAACAAAACTCACACCACAACATAATTAGTTGAGTTTGAACAAAACTCACACCACAACATAATTAGTTGAGTTTGAACAAAACTCAAACCACAACAGAATCAGTTGAGTCTGAACAAAACTCACACCACAACAGAATTAGTTGAGTTTGAACAAAACTCACACCACAACAGAATTAGTTGAGTCTGAACAAAACTCACACCACAACAGAATTAGTTGAGTCTGAACAAAACTCACACCACAACAGAATTAGTTGAGTCTGAACAAAACTCATATCACAACAGAATTAGTTGAGTCTGAACAAAACTCACACCACAACAGAATTAGTTGAGTCTGAACAAAACTCACACCACAACAGAATTAGTTGAGTTTTAACAAAACTCACACTACAACAGAATTAGATGAGTCTGAACAAAACTCACGTCACAAGAAAATTCTACAAGTTAAAAATAATATACAAAATTCTCAATATTTTGGCTTGTATCCCATAGTAACCAAAATATACCATAATAAAATATCCAGCTAGAAAGCAGATTGTTTCATTTGGTCATGTGACCTGGGAGGATCAGGTACAGCTGGACCTCTAACTCCCTTCTCGACTACTGATTTGGTTCTTGGGTGTTGGATGAAGCCCAGACTAATTCTTCAGTAGATTACGATCCTGTAGTTAGGAAAACCCATTCTTACATCACGCAGTCGCTGCACGCGTGTAGCAATAATACAAAGCAGATAATAAAGATATTGCCACTGTTTATGTTTCCCGCTCTCTTTTGATTCATGCCATTTGACTTCTGATTTATACTAGGGTTAAAATAAGTGCTTAAGCCTGAATTAAAGAAGTATTTCATAATTAGAATATTTGTTAGAATATTTCTTACTTCTTGATGCAGAATATAGTTTTCCACAGAAGCAAAATTTAAATTATTATTAAATTTACACTATGTGTAACAAATTCAGACAGTATAAATCCTGAACACATCTCTACTGTGAAATGGGTTCCTTTGAACAAGAAGTGACGTAACTGCTTTGTCATTTCAGCCATGTTTCTTGAATCGACTTCTACACCTCCTCACTTCCGATCCCCTCTCACTGTTTTACAACGATTTTATTGAAGAATGAATGCTACTGAAAATCCTCGCAGATACTATAATCATAATTAGTAAATTTGTGGGTATTTTCTGCATTTTCAAAAGAAAAAAAGACGGATTAGTGCAGATAACCTGCAAAATTTTTAGGTACGACATTTAAAGTACATTACAAGAGGTTAAAATAATCCATTATTCACTTTTACTTGTAAACTTTTACGGGATCTGTTGGGCTTTCACCAAAGACAGAGATGGATATGTAAATTGTCTCTCAAAAAATTAGTCAAATTGCACATTACTTAATTTTATAAAATTGTTTGTGGACATTTTACAATACAGGAGTTTGTAATTAATTAAAGCTATGTAGGTTCTGAGAATAATCTGGCAAACCTAAGAAGTTGGGAATATAATGAATGTCTTTCATTTGACCATGTTTCACTCTGAAGAGGATAGTTCAATATCTGTCAAATATAGGTTTCGTGTTTGTCAGAAACTTTAGGGTTAAAACTGTTCTTCAAACATAATATATACAAGGTTATTCACAGAAAATAGTTTAAACATCCCCAAGAATGGTAGGTTGGTTTAAAGTGATCATTTAAATATCCAAATGTTTTTATTGTTCAAACTATTTGATCCATAAAAATGTAGACAGAAATTTGCCCCGAAAGATGCACCCATTGGAAAGCCTATTTTTTTTTGTAAGATTGATTTCTAAAAATCATAGTTATTTAAAATTTCAAAATCTAAATTTTTAGTGATTAAAATGCATTTTCTGGAAATCCAATAACACTCGAAATTGTTAAATTTATTAAATCATTGTAAGATGGCGCTTTGATTTTGGGAGGAACATACTACAAGTTTCGATAGAACATTGGACTAAAATGAATCATTGAATTATGCTTAGGTCCCTTACATTTTACTTTGTAACATGAATAACAAACCAACTTTCATTGATGATTACCACAAAGGCAAAGAAAAAAAAAAGACAGGCAACCTGCTAGATATGATAAAACAATGGAAGGAAGAACAAACAGAAAAAATCAGGTGAAGAAGAGACAGCAAATTAGAAGAACGTCTCAGGAATTTAAAAGAATAGTTAAAAGAGAAATACTATTTACAGAAGAATTAAAAAATAAAACTAAATCTGAGTGAAAACAAGATCGAGAAAGTTACTGGAGATACACAGAAAGATCCCAAAAGGGCAAGGATGAAGTTACAAGTAAAGGAACACAACATCTGTGATGGACTAAACCACTTGGAAAACGAATAAACTAGCTGTATTTCTTTCTACATCAGCTCAAGAGTTTCTACCTAAAACCCAAGCTACTACAAAATATGGAACAGGATAAATTATGTGGTCCACACGTTACCACTACTGCTGTGCCACCTGCTACTACCAGAGGATCGTCAAGAATGGAGCTGCCAATGGATTCAACTACTTAGCCCCCCCAGTGACAGGATAGTCGGTGATAAGATAAGGGCCTTGAAAGCGAAAACCTCTGAAAAATAAGAGACTTGGTGAATGTAGAGTGTTTATATTAGAGTCAAGTAAGTCTGTTGCAGTAGGCCTACAAAGTTCTAAAATTTGACGTCAGGTTTTCTTGTAAATTCAAGATTATAAATACTATGTTCAGTGAAATGTGTAATGGAGATAGCGTTTCTAGTCAGTACAATGAATCAGTGTGTGTTTTTGTTTCAACTAGTGACGAATCTGTCAATATTTTGTTTTCATTTACTGGGATTGATCAGCCTTGAAGTTTTACAAATAAGTTTATTTTTACGTTAGTTTTGTACATTTAGCATGGCTGAAAACTTGGCCTACAAGTTATCAAAGTGATTAAGTTTGTACAGAAGGAAATAAACTAACTTGTTATCGTTACGTAGATTAGACATCAAATTATTTTCACCAGATTATTTTAAAAACCTGCCAATGAAAGAATAATCTTACAGCTATATCTTTTATTCAAAATCAGACTTATAGTTTTGAGTGCAACACGAGAATTTGTTTGTTTCTAATTATGCACAAAGCTACACAAGGGCTATTATTGCTCTGCCCACCACGGGTATCGAAACCCGGTTTCTAGCATTGTAAGTCTGCAGACATACCGCTGTGCCACTGGGGGGCTCAACACGAGAAATGAAATTCCATTTGTTGTGAAAAATTCAACTCAACTGATATTTTTATTATAGAAAAAGTATTAAATCAAGGTTTCAGTTACCAACAATATACCAGAAGTACTTCATAGATGGAAGATATGATGAGAAAAAAGAATAACTGAGAGCCCCAAAATGAGCTATAGCTCTGAAGTGCCAAAAATGGGTGATAATAAAGGAATTCTCGATCTCTGTTAAAAAAAAATCTTAATAATTTTAATGCTATAAAATACACTTTTTTGATTTTAGGGCAACCATAAAATGTATGAGCAAAAAAAACTAAAAATTCTAAGATTCCTATTTATGAGGAAAACAAGAAATCTTGCATGCCTCAAACCCAAGATCATCAAGACACATTTTAATTCAGGAATTTGTCACAAAGTTTTACTTTCTAGAAGCACTAATGTTTATAAATTCTCAAACTTCTCATGTAAAGAACAATAAAGTACGTTCATATACTTTGTGATACACTCCTTCAACCAAATATTACTCATTTCTTAGGTTGAGATTCTTACATATTAACATTTCCTAAATATTCATGATTATGTAGATTTTACGCTATAAGGAAAATCAGTTATTTAATTAATCATACAAGGTTTTAATCCACAAGTAAAACAACATTATATATTTACATATCATACATACAGTACTTATTTAAAGGTATATTGAAAAGAAATGCAATAAATAAAATTTTTTGAGTGATATATAATAATGAGATACGTCAACTCCAAAATAACTTTTTTATAAAGTGATATCCAACATGCAGATTGATTTAATGTTTCCAGAACCAAGAAAACGTTTCTCAAGCCCAAAAAAACTTTCTTATAAAGCGATACACCACATGCAGATTGATTTAACGTTTCCAGAATCAAGAAAACGTTTTTTTTTCAAATATAATATTTAAAATATATGATAAATTGATCATACTTTAGGATACTTACTAAATCAAAGAAGTGAGATGCGACTATTGTTGATTAGAATAAGCCTGTATCTGAACCAACCATAAAGTTAAAGAAAACAAAACATTATTGATGTGTTTGATGAAATGATAGCACATAAACACATTTTCTAAAAACAGAATAATAAACTGCACGAAGGCTCAGATCTTACACAAACATTTTTTTTTTCCTTTCATAAGCAAGCACCTCACCGTAAAAATCAACACAATGTTTTGACTATAGATATTTAATACCTGAACAACTACACGAAATAGCAAATAAATATTAATCTGGCAAATGACTTTGTTAAAATATTGGATAAGTTGGCTGGAAAACTAATAAACTAGAGTCAAGTGTGATGTATGTATAATCCGTGTCAAATCAGCTAAGAAAAGGATATAACTTGTACTAACATCAGAGTGACTAACATTCACTACAGCCTTCATTTAAATTGGTTTTTTTGTGAATAGCTGTCAAAATCTTTAACAAACTCAAGAAAAACTATTCAAAAACATGAAAACACAAGCTTGTAGGAGGTATCAGGTATGTAAAGCTTTTAAAACTCTTAACTATCCAGTTCCTAATAATCACAGGCATTTTAATAAGAAAAGTGGGGAGAATTTGTCCCAATTACATTGGCCTCAAAATTTTAAATTATTAACATCAAACTATAAGCAGTATTTTCCAAGATATTAAACAGAGATAATGCAACAAATCAACTTAGGACTAAATTCCTTTTAGCCAATCAACTCGAAAGAATTTCCTATAGGAGTTGGTAGCAAAGATTATGGAATGCAGTCATATGGTTATGATTAGATAAGAACAGCTGTGTAAACTAAACACCAAATAAACAAAAGTCCTGAACTTCAACAAACACACTGTTTCGCATTACGTTCACTTGTACGAATAAGGGCTGCTAAAAAATGATACGCAATTGTATACACCAAGTGAAAAATACCTGTTTTACGATTAATCCTGTACTGTTTCTTTATAAAAAGTGTGAGAAAACAAATTTCTTTAAATCTATTCATCATGTAACTAATGACTCTGACTTAAGAAAAAAGTCTAATTTTTATAAAAAATTCAAATTCTGTTGTACATTTTTGGAGGTGACTTGAAATTCAAAATAGAAAAAAACAGTGAAAGGTTTAAAAAAAACATGCAATACACGTGGCTGATGGCATTCTAGTACTTTATTATTAAAAAAAATTATACTGGCAAGGTTTTGTTGACCGTTCTTGTGACTGCAGTTGTAAAAAGTTTTGAAAAGAATCGGAGTCCCGTTTGGCCTCCAGGAATGTATCTAATTACATACCTGAAACAAGAGAAATACCTTGTATAACTAACAAAAATAAATGTACACCATTCAAACATGTCACCTTCTAATCTCTTACCATTAAAATGATTAATAAAAATCCACTTTTACTGGATCACAATACACTATCTGGATTCAGATTCACACGTTTACTGTTAACATAATACTAATAATACTAACATAATAACAGAAATAATAAACCAACAATATGTATCAATTTTAGGAAACAAGTTAATGAAAAATTATACAAAAGTGAAAAACTTTTGAGACTATGGAAGCTAAATACTGAAATGGCACAATGGCACATTATTTAATACAACACTACTATTAATATATAATATGTGGGCTTAAGTATAATCAACAGAAAGAAAAAAAGAAGATTGGGTAAGTAAAATATTTCTTGTTTATTCTTTATTTATTATTATAAAAGTAACTAGAATGTCAAAATAGGGATCTTTTTAGGTTAGTTAAGGTTAGATTAGGTAAAATAAATAATAATAATAATATAATAAAAATGCTTCACAAGGCACACACGTAAGCAGCACGTATATAATGTAATTCGACAGCATAACGTGAGGTACATGTTCCCCGAGTGATTTACAAACTTATCATGGCACGGATAGTAGTTAAACATAGTTCAAAGAGCAATCAAATTAACTGAAAGACTGCCAAATTTTGTGAAGATATACACACACTATATTAAAAGTTAGAAGTATTAAATCTATAAAGACTTTAAACAAGTACAAAGAGGTCATGTGGTCAGTCATATTGACCGAGCCTGTGTTAAGAGAGTTAAGCCTTAAAAACATGAATAGTTTTACAGTGTAGATACACCAAACAAAACACTCGACTGTTTCGTTATTTGTATCCACAGGTGAAACTTATGTCAGTTTTGGATATGTAGACTTGTGACGTTATGACTTAGTTCTTAACATAAACAAATATAACCTGTTAACTGCAACTAAAATAAAATTCTATTGAAGAGGTACACATACATATTTAAAATAAGAGCTGAATTTTTACTTGGGTCATACATGTAGAACAAGAACAACGAGTAAACTAACATACCAGATCAATGTTAAAACTTGACATATTGCACAAACTGCAGTTGGAATGGTGCTTTTCACCTATAATAAAAAACAATCTATTCAGTTTCTTTTCATAAACATTTTAAAAAGCATTAATCATTAACACTTAAATTAACAATATTAAATAAATTTCCAAACATATGATGTAAAAGATAGCCATCACCAATAATAAATGGTATAACAACAGTAATTTTATCGATGTAACCTCACCTAACAAAATTGTCACTTTTCTCTTCTTCAAAAGATTACGATATTATTTAATATGATCTACATAACTCACTGAATCAAGTAACATAGTAACTAAGTACCAGAAGTTATCAACATGTTAACACCAACTTAACTGTACTGAATGTGGTCACGTGTCTTCAGTTCAAAGGATACCATCTGTAAAAGTTTTGTGGAGTTTTTTTAAGAACATGGATATTCTGTAAATCAAGTCCGAGGAAGAACTGCTGTGTTCTGTTTAGCGTACAACTTGCTAGGATAAGAATCTTGGGGACTAATTATAAATTACAGATGGTTTGTTTATTTGTTATGGATTTCATGCAAAGCTACACGAGAGCTATCTGTGCTAGCCGTCCCTAATTTAGCAGTGTAAGACTAGAGAAAGGTGGCTAATCATTACCACCCACCACCAGCTCTTGGGCTACTCTTCTACCAACAAATAGCGGGATTGATCGTCACATTATAACGCCCCCACGGCTGAAAGGGCAAACATGTTTGGTGGGACGGAATTACAGATGGACAACCTGCTATGATTTTGATGTGCTAGCAGTAAAGGATTGTGGTACTGATGTTGGTATGGACACTAGATGTGGAACCTAGCTGTATATCTAAATACATATGGAAATCCTTAACTATGTGCATACCTAGATGTTGGTCTGGACACTAGATGTGGAACCTAGCTGTATATCTAAATAAATATGGAAATCCTTAACTATGTGCATGCCCTGAAGCATGGTGTATTTTTTAGAACAGTTGTATTCAAACTTGTTTGTTTGCAAACCATCTGAATTTCTTTATCATTATGTAATTTATCGCGACAGACCAAAACTGGATATATATATAATCTCCTGCCACTTCCTTTCCAAGGATCACCTGAAAGGTACCCAAGGACTACAGATTGAAAGACAGTGTTCTAGACAAAGGTTTTTTGTACTCACATCGAGTTTCAAAGTACCATTAGCAAAATTTTGATATACCTCTGAAAGAGTCTAGAACTTCATAAAATATCTTTGATACCATCTCGAGGAGTTGTTTAAAAAGGTTAAGTCACATTCTTCCAGCCATCATCAACTGGCCTTGAAAACACAATGAAGACAACTACACTAAACGTTAGTTACTTCACACAAGAGCAGCAAACTAAGAACAGGGCCATACTATTACAAACATCAATTACATGTGGATGTTTTTGGCAGATTGACTGATATTTGTGTGTGTAACATATTTAAGTACACACACACATATATATATATATATATATATACATAAAACTACATTCTGTTCATGTATAGTATAAGGTGACCAATGGCTACTTTTCTCTCACGCACAGTCAAACTTGCATGACCAATGGCTACTTTTCTCTCATGCACAGTCAAACTTGCATGACCAATGGCTACTTTTCTCTCATGCACAGTCAAACTTGCATAGTGTAACTTCCTAATACTTGTGCATGGTTTCCTTTGTATTAGTATTTCAATCTTTTCCTAACCATTACAATACAATTACCAATTTTGTAAACATTAACAGAGAACTGAATATGCTGTGTCTACAGTTATCTATATATTTGTACAATTAAACTAACAGGAAATCTATGTCAGTTAGGAAATTCTTGGCAAATAAGTCTACAACAAATGTTTAAACTTTACTTTATCTTAAAATAAATATACAACATGCGTAATAATGATAATAAATACGACTTACCCACATAGCAAAATACAGAGTTGCAAACATACTGCTAAAATAAATAATTGTGAAAGGAAGCATTTCTTTTGAACACAGGTGCTTTGCATGGCTTACTGGACCCCATAGCAGAGAAAAGCTGAAAAAAAAATGTATATATATAACAAATCCTCTCTCTATATATTTATAAAAAGGTTACTGGTTGAATTGAAAGTGTAGATATTAAGCTTATAGAAAATTTGTAGCCTCTAATAGTGACAAGTTAACTTGTTAAAACATTGAAATCTGCTTTTTACCATTTATTTACAATGTTAGCCATCTTAGAAACATCTTACGTTGGATCAAAGATCTTTGTATACCATAGTTTAAAACCCCCTCAATATGAACAGCAAGCTCCATCTGATAACTGTAAAAAATGGCAGACACATGTCAGAAATGTTTTTAAGTTATAGTAATACAAAGTATTATAACACTGTAATCTGCTTTTATGGAATATTATTACAGAAATGTACTATGTTCTTCCCACTTAGTTTTTCTGTCATTTCTTATTCAAACATCAGTTTGTTAACCTGTAAATTATGATAAAAGTCTATGTCAGCCGAAGTATGTCTTTCACAGTTATGTATATTCAGAATTTATTTTTTACAATAAAATGTGGGATTAATTTCATTAAATACTGATACTACTTTCAAAACTAAAGCCTACCATATTCTTCATACATTTATGGCACCCAGCACAACCAAAACTTTTCTTAATTACTTGGTTTAACACTAATTCTGTCCAATTTCATGATGACCTAATTTTACGCGTGTTTGTAACATACAACATCTTGGCTCAAACACTTTTCTACAGTGAATGGCTTTTCAAGTAAATCTATACATTCAATGAGATAAACAAATAAAAGGGGCTTATCTAAAAGAACTTTACATAAGCTGAGAAAAGGATAACTTAATTTCAAACCAGAAAATAATGTTTGTGAAAACAAATGTTACTGATTACTTAGCATTCATAAAATGCTTGAATCATATTAAGAAGAAGCTTTGACAAAACCAATTAATTAAACTCATTAATAAATATATCTAAGGTCATTGTAATTATATCTTTAATGAACTAACACTGTATGTTGTTCAATTACCATATTTAAGATTTTTTCAATACATGTAAAAAGCATTACAGAAAAAAGTTTACATGTGAAAGCCAAAGTTTTAGGTAGTAAAAAAAAAACGTTGCATACCTACAAATGATGAATAAGCTGCCAAGACTGTACAAGAGAGCAAACTTTCGAGCTTTTAACAGCAGAAATGGAGCATAAAACCCAGCCTGAAAAAAATACATTAGAACTTTTAAATATCAAACAGAGTAGTGATTTTTACTATTCAATATTTTTATAAATTCACAATAAAAAAATTAAGCCATTTTATACTTCTTTTCAATATTGGTAGTGATTTTAAAAGTCCACAACTCATGATTTCTAAGCCTAATACAAGTGTTTTCTCTTCATGCTGTTGTTTGGCTGGCAGATCCTCATATGTCAAAATTGTTTTAGCAGCAGTTGTGAAGATGGCAGTCTTAGATTAATTTATTCGCACCACCCTAAGCTGTACATAATTTTAAAGTAACTACAAATAGACTAAATTATTAAATCTGTCTACTCTGTGTAATGTAAAGGTGAGAGCTGTTAAGCCTACTGTTACTGTAGTGGCATGGTAATTTGCAAGATATCAATTTTGTTTATCATTCACATATGTTTCTTTCAAATGTTTGGTTTTATTTGAAGTAAATTCTAGCTCACCGTCCTCCTAGTGGTGATGTATGAATACTACATTCATGTTTGATTAAATAAAACAAATATTAAGTAGTTAGTCATGCAACATGTAATCTCATGGTCTGGTAAGGCAATAAAAAGTCTTAAAACTTGAAGTTAAATTGACAAAAGAGACAGATGAGAGCGAGGCTGGGAAACTGTGATATGTAAGAAATTTGATTTGTTAAAAGAAATTACTGCAAATATTCACTTAAATCTTAAATGTAATTTAATGACATTCTTTGAAAAGTATCTAATATTGTTAGTCTGAATAATCTTATGAATTAGGTTTTACATTTTCTAGTTAATTCTTCCTGATTCATCATCATCATTATTATTACCGTTAGTATTATTTTGAGCTTGATTTGAAGATTGAAGTATATATTTATAAAGTCCTGGTGCTAACATCATTATTTGATACATTACAAGCTATAAAATGTTTGTATCATTTTTAAGCCAAATCTTAATAGCAGAACATTAATGGCTTAAATACCTTTCTTACAACACAATTACACAAAAATATTCTATTTCACCATTTATTTTATCTATAAACTAAATCTTGTTACAGCCATTCATAACTATACAAATATTAGCAATTAAATAGACTGTAGTATTTGTTTCAAACACTGACACGATACGAAAACATTTAAACATGTTTATAATTAACTAGTCAATAAAAGTAAAATTACAACTAAAACATCAGTGAAATGATTCCTTAAATCAGTGACCATTACATTAGTGACCATTAAATCAGTGACCATTACATTAGTCGAACCTACATCTACTTGTATGCTTTAAGAAGTGAACCTTCTCTCTCTAGTTAAAATTATTTTGGTCACCTGGCTTGAGCTTTCTCTTAAATACTGACATTCTTCCAAACAAGACCATAAATAATGTCTAACAGGAATCTTGTACCAAGACACAAGTTTTTTCTTCCTTCTTTTCCATGACACCAATATAGTTGTCGTACAAGTCCTTTCCACATTTCTCAGTCTTGTGTGCATGACTTCACAATTTTCACTAAGCCTAATCAGGCTTTGATAAATCAAACCAACAGCATGGTCAAGAACAATTTAATTTATGCTTAAGAAATCAGCTTTCTGTAAAGCATCGACGACAAACTTACTATAATTAAACAGATGAAAAACAAGAACATGACTGTTTTCTTCAAGTTCATCGTTTCGTGTTGAAAGTTTTCGATAAATTACACAAAAATAATTGGCTTTGCACTTTATAATAAGGTTTTTACTTAACTACAAACCTTCTAGCCTTTTCAAAGGCTTATCAGAGTTATGCTTAGTCTAGCACCTGATAACGAACTCAAAGATACTGGTTAAATATAAAGTCTTCTCTTATAACAATAACGTGTAACTGTATATTTTACTGTAGGCTATTCAATCTTCTATGGTGTAGATGTCTGGGCCTTATAAAAAATATCCTGTCTGCGAATTGTATTTCTCTTTTAAACGTACATTACAGAAAACTGAATAGAGCATGCTTACCAATGTAAAGCAAAAAAAACCCATTAGAATGCATCCTACAAATCCTATAATTCTCTGTCTTCTGGTCTGAAAGATGAGGAAAAAGAAATGTTAAGGCTTATAATATTTGACATTTACAAGTACATTCTTCTGGAGTTGAGTTGAATATACAGACATCTCAATACTAAAATTAATTAAGGAAAAATGTCATAAATAAACATACTTGAAAATAAACTATCCTTGATCAATCATGATATAAAAGTTTTTGTATATTTTGTAAAATAAATCTAGATACAATGTATTTCATAACATATTTGTAGATATCACAGGTATTCAGAGATAGATGGTAAACTGCATTATGCATAAAATCTATGAAAAATTAGTTTGACATCTTTAAAGGAAAGAGAATTTTATGCTTACTCGTTACCTACGAGATCTCTGCACAAGCAATTCCTAATTTTGAGCTGATAAACTAGAGGAAAGGTAGCCACGAACAACACCAACGACCACTTCTTGGGGTCTCTAATCGACAAATGGGACTAGCAAGCCCATACGTAGAATGATTGAAGGGGGGTCTAATTTGTGAGATGAAAAGTTAACCCACATTGTGTGAAGCACAATCAGCATCCTAATGCTACGGGGTTCTGGGGCATGCAACTATTTCAAGCCAAAAAAATGCTAATTCTGCAACAGAAGCATGCAAACTATGTAGAAAACATTAAATACTATACACAGCTATGCTTTAACTATATAAACACAAGTTTTTTACATCACAAAAAATACGGGGTTTAGCCAAGCCCCCCTCCCCCTGCATATGCGAGTAATTTTTATTGTGCATCTGCAACCCAAACACATGAAACAAGATTTTGTGACAACAGGATACTAACCACAAACCTTTAGATCTGCAGCCCAGCATGCTAACAACCGAACAGGTCCAGTTCAACATTGCTCGATACACATCTATGTAAGACCATTTTCACAAAAAAAAGACCTACTAAATATATTGTTAAGAACTGGGGAAAGGGGGGAAGTATGTACATATTTCCCCAATTTAAATCTTTTGGTTAACAAATTTGTCAAGGTCAAAAATTTTTAATACAGTGCTCAAACAAAAACTTGGATTATGTTTAATATTATTCAAACTAAATGTGTGATACTGGAAAGAGAAACTTCAATACGTTTTATTGGTGTTTTTTAAGTAAGCCAAATTGAATGCAACATCTACTGAAATACCTTTCCGAGTTGGGAGTATATCACTAAAGGAAATGCTAAGATGTTCATCTAGGGCTTCCTGCTGTTAATTATTTATGTCCACACCTTTTTTTTTCAAAGAGTACTTCATAATGTTCAGTTTTAGTCTTCTAACTATTGGATGGATTGACATACATGTAAAATGTATTACTGCATATAGTAAACTGCTTGATTTGAAAGGTTTGAGTTACATGGAGAAGCTTAAAGATTTTGACTTCTTTTTTTTTCTGGAGCAGAACTTAAGGTGATTTTATTCAAGTACTTGAAATTGTTAGATAAATTTCTAAAGATTGGGAGATCACGAATATGATCCTTTGTTTAAACAAGGAACATAACATAATGTTTAGGGACAACACAGGACCTATTGGTCCATCTAGGCTGTCCCATCCTCTAAGCTAAACTAAAACTATTAAAAAATATATCTTAAAGCCAGCCTTTATCATTCATATAGTCATCAAGCTTTTTCTTAAACTCACTTAAATTTACTGCCTCTACAATATCTGAAGGCAACCCATTCCAAAGGCCAACCACCCTGTTTGAAAAATAAAACTGTCTTAGCTGAAGATGACTCCTATCTTGACAAAATATACGTGTCCCCTAGTCCTACTATTCTCGCTGTTAAGGGTAAAGAGGATGCATCAACACTATCAATTCCCTTTATCATCTTAAACACCTCCAGCATATCCCCTCTAACTCTTCATTTTTCAAGAAAAAACACTTTTAAAGACCTTAATTGCTCCTCATGTGACAACCACTCTATCCCAGACACCATTCTAGTAACCCTTCCCTGAACCCTTTCCAACAATTCATTGTCCTTTCTGAGGTAAGGAATTCAAGACTGAACACAATATTCCAAATGTGGCCTAACCAGTGACCTATACAATGAAAATATAACCTATTTAGACTTGTATTCAGTATTTCTGTAGATACAACCTAAAATCCTACTTCCCTTCCACTAGCAACAGTACACTGCTTAGATGTCAAAGGAGAACTCGGGAAATTATAAGGCATTGAAATGGATGAAAGAAAACAAAAGTTTTGGAATATTAAATGCAACTATTTCTTTATCAAAATTATTTCTTGGTTAAAAATAAACACGTGTAGGACCAAACACATACTCTCACAAAAAATCATCAGGTACGTCATGGTCTAATTTCCATATTAGTACTATAGTAAATTCCTAGTGTAAAGGTGGTTATAAATTATGCGTGTATGTAAAATGTTTATTTTAATCTTTTTGTTGCTTAATTAATTAGTAAAGTACATAAATACACTTCATAATCTTTACAGACATAGCATGCTAAGTTACAATTCAATGAATTATTCAAGGAAAGAGACAAGCAAGTCAACTAGCTATTTTGGGGAATGAAAACAAATAGTCATTAATTACAAAACAAAAAAAAAATCAATTACTAATAATAGTTACTATTTTAAGAACTCTAGACTATGAATTGTTTGTTTTGAATTTCGCATAAAGTTACACAAGAGCTATCTGCACTAGCCGTTCCTAATTTAGCAGTGAAAGACTAGACGGAAGGCAGCTAGTTATCACCACCCACCGCCAACTCTTGGGCTACTCTTCTACCATCGAATAGTGGGACTGACCATCACATTAAAACACCCCCATGGCTGAAAAGGCAAACATGTTTGATGGGACAAGGATTTGAACCCGCAACCCTCAGATTGCAAGTCAAGCACCCTAACCTCCTGGTCATCCCCGGCCTAGACTCTGAAAGAATGGAAAAGTATCTTCAACTTAAGTATATTTTAAAAGATTTTTCATGTGTTACAAATTTTCTAGTATAAGAATTATAAATAATCATAAATTAGACATTATTACTATTAGATATAAGAATAATGCAATGTATTAATTATCATTACTATACAACTTACATGGTCGATATTTTTTGACTTAACTAAAGACAATGTTAGTGTTAGTCTAAAAACTTTAAAAACTAAAAAAATCTCTCGTAAAGTTTATATAATGATTTGAATATTAACAAATTCTTTTCATTTTCCACTAATTTGTATAAATTGGCTCGAACTTTACAATTTGGGGTTAAATCGATACTGTGGGTGTGGCACAGTCTCGGAATTAGAAGTGAATTAAGTTTAAATTAAACCTATCTCACTGTATTACTTTAAAATTTAAGTAAATAAAGCTCACGGCCCTCGCGGAGCCTAAATTTCTATCTCACCAAAATTCGAAACACAGGATCTTTCTCAACTTGCGACGTCCATCCATTTGTATTTTTTGTTTCCTGAATTAATACACCTGTCTCCTGATTAAATTTTGTCGAAAACCAACTCTTAAATGTATCATATTTAATGCTGGCTACGAAATTCTGGCGATTCGTGTCTGGACGCGCTAGATAGTTCTTCAAATCTTGATTCAAGTCCACCATATTTCCATAACACTTATTTTACCGATCACAAGAAGTGTTCATGTTTATAACTTTTTAAAACTAATTTTATTTACGTTTTTTTTATTTTAACAAAATGAATGCACGAATAAAATAACGATAATGATTGTAATAAATTACAATCTCAAAATCATCTTCATGACAAAATGTTTAGTGAATAGCTGAAACAACTATAATTATAACTTAAAACTATGAGAAATGCCCCTGTGGCTTAACGGCAAATTTAAGGTCTTAATTATAACGCTGAAAAATGGATTTCGATACCTGCAGAAGGTATAGCACAGATATCCCATTGTGTAACTTTGTGCTTAAAACAAGCGTAAAGCAAGAGTAATATGGAAATCATAATACATAACTGAAGGGATGTGCCAAAAGCAACACATCAACCATGAAAATGAAATATTCATACCGAGTGTAACACATATTTTCGTATTTGTTTGTTTCAGAATTTTCGCGCAAAACTATAAAAAAGGCTATTTGCGTATAACTGATCTTAATTTTGAACTAATATACTACAAAGAATTAATGTAATCAACGGCACCCACCTCCAACCATTAGATTATTATTGTGGGACCTGACATGGCCTGGTGGTTAGGGCACTTGATTCGTAATCTGTGGACCGCGGGCGAGAATCACATCACCAAACATGCTCGCCCTTCCAACAGTAGGGGCATTACAATATGACGATCGTTGATAAAAAAAAGTAGCTCAAGAGTTGGTGATGGGTAGTTCTGACTTGTTACTTTCCCTCTAATCTATCAATTCTGATATAAGGACGACTAGCGCAGATAGCCCTCGAATAGCTTTGAGAAAAATTAAACAAATAAACGAACAACAAACAAAAAAAAGAGACTACTTTTTGTGAACCGAATGATAGTAGTTGATTCCCTCTTATATTGTAACTATCAATTTAAGGTGCAAGAGCGCGTTTTGCGCCAATAGGACGTGATTCATGAATCCTCGGATCCACAGTTCGGGCATACTAATATATGCCACTCCCATCTCATCCTTTTGTAAATTATTACATACAGTTTTAAATAAACCTTTTGGTTTAGTAGCGTATCTAATATCTCAAGCATACTAATTAATCTTTTGAAGAATGTTACACTTATGAAAAAGCTATAATGTTTACATCAAAACTCAATACTTATTATAATTTTCTTTGAAAATATCTCAGCACAGTTCGCACTGCTTATTGAATATCCTTGCTATCTTTCCTCATTCTAAGACACAACATTATAAAAGATATGTAAGAAGAACAATTCTCGTGTTACCTCTAATACTTACACTGCTCTGAATAAACTGAGCATGAATCTAGGAAGAAAACAATCACAATAACGATTATTGCAACTCAAAAACAAAACTGAGTCACTAGAAATTTATTTATGTAACAGATATTCATAACTTTTATATAAGTATATAATATTTTACGGATTAAGAAGTATGGT